TTCATGATAGCCTATACTTATTTACTTCAAAGGACGTGGATAGACTTTTTACCGGTTCCTGATGGGTATTTATGCATTGCTCCCTAGCGCGCCTGTACTTATGCCATTAGCGTAGGCTATGCACCGACTGAGCAGACGATCATGCACCTGGCATATGCCATATGCACGTAGACAGCCGGACAACAACGGTTAGGCCGGTCGAGCGCGAAATTAGCATTGACTCTCTCACTGAAAAAGTTACTGTGCATGTGTTAGGCTGACTAATTGCAACGACGAGTTTACTACTGCTAACGGTGTGCTTTTGCATAGAGTGTCAGATTTTTGTGAAGGTACGTACTTCGTGAAGCCTTGACTTATGTTTATGTAATTGCACGGCCTTGTTACACCCTATTTCATACAACCTTTCTTGATGTGGTTGAAAGTTGCCAGTGCATTTTGCCCACTTACAGTATCATTCAGTATCCCCTCTCAGCCTATGTTAGTATCAGAGAAGAGACAGACATAGATGGCAGACTGATAGAGATATGGTGTACATACATTCTGCTTTCAGATTCACTGATCGAAATGTAAATATTATGCAATTTCCCTGCTTCAGGACCAGCTAAGGATCATCGTGGAACACTGTGAGTGACTAGGCAACCGAAGGCCTACATGCCAAAGACAAAGAGCCAGAGAAGTGTCAAAAAAGCATTGTTTCCGTTAAAAAGACGGAAGGCATAAAAATTTCCGTAAAACGAATTCCGTAAATTTACGGATTTCTGTTTAGGGAATTATTTTTCGAGTTCGTATTTTAACGAAATGAATTTTAAAATGTCCGTGAAAAAGACGGAAAAATAACGGGACAGATAAAAAGCAATTCTTCATCTGCGTACGAGACCCCCGAATTCCACTATTCTTCATGTATTTTGGATTTTCAGACGTTATAAGTCAATTTTTGGCAGGATATTTCTCTGTAAGGTCATGTCATATTTCAGTTTTCATAAGTTGATATGCTAGCAAATATTTTTCACCTAAGGCCTTTTTAAGTGTAGAGTTTTAAGAAGTAACTGAAAGAAAAAAAATTCTAAAATTTCTGCACGTAATTTTTCTTATCTAAGGGTTCCGGAAGCGCGCCGTCGGGTCAGCTCTCATAATCAGGCTCTATAG